TAACAATCATAATGATAATAATAATAATGAATGTAACGATATTATGTAATATCGTACTTCTAATCAATCAAAAGTATTGTTGGAGGGAAAAAGATTAACAGTCAATGTAAAAAAAAATTATAAAAATGTTGCAAAAGTAGTGAATTATTGAAATTTTCGAATAACAGAGCAGAAAGAAAACATTTGTTTGGCATGATCTGAATATTACGCTATTAATACTGTTGCTATCATTATGCAATTTGAAGTTGACCCTTGAAGATGTTTTGTATGTATGCAAATATATTGTAATGGTCAGTAAGGAAGTGAAAGAGTATGACTGACCAGCAAAAGAATCCAGCGGGGAATAATATGGACAATGGCTATTCGTGTTTGATTCTGCTATCCACATCAATTGTTCTTCACTTTTATTATTGTGTGATTATTTTTGGATATTTCCAATATTTGTTGTAATCGTTTAGGTTTTTTTTTTCATCTAAAAGTTACATTGATTATGTTTCAGACAATGTCTATATTTATTGATTAGATCATTTATGCATTAGAATCCTTGATCACTCGTAAATATTAATTAAGCCTTATAATTATTCATTATATCATTCATTTAAAATTTTATATATATACCAATGCATTCTATCATTATTTTCTTTTTTTTTAGTAAATGTAAACCAATAAAATTAATATTTGTAAAAATTTGTATAATAAGGAGATTTACATATAGTATGTTTGGAGATTTCATTTTATTGCGTATTTATCTGCTTCTTGCAAATATAGAAAAAGTTTTTCAAAATTATATTTTAAGATATAAATGATATAAATGAAAAACATATCGTTGAAGAATATGAATCAAATAAATTTCTCTCTTGTACAAATTTTCTCATCTTACGCAAATCTCTTTATTGATGAAAATTTTTACAGCTATTCATTTTACCGGCAAAAATTGAAATATTTTATGTAAGATATTCGCGTATTCTATTATTTTTGTAATCTTGTCATTTTTAAATGTTTTCAAATAAAATGAATAACAACTTTATTATGGCAAGATTAAATAAAATATAGCAATGTCATTGTTTTTTGAATCAATAATTAATTAAGTTTATAGTTTATAAATTGCTAAAATGGATTCTGTTGAATTAAATACATTTCTATTTTTCTTTTTTATTTTCTTCTTTTCTTAAAAAAATAAACAAACCACAATTTTTTTAAAATAAAAGAGTGATTTGTTCGTTTTAGATACAAATGGATACAGTAGAAAGAAGTTTGAAGCTTAACAATGAAATAATAATTGCCGAAAATATTTCTCGAAATAGTTTCATTGCTTCCAGAACTGATGAAAATTATGACAGTGCCAACCGTGATTTAAATTACAAGAAAATTAAAATTGACGAAAGTCGTATGCCAATACAATTACGTGGGAAAACGTGGATATTTAAAGAAGCAATTGGAGAGGGTAAATTGAATTTAATTGTATTTTCATCAGTTTTTCTTATTTTAATAATTTTTATAACTTTCTACAATATATAAAATCTACATTAATGTGAGAAAATGGAATTTATTTGAAATAAAAGCGTAAAAAGTGAGTTATGAATTGAAATTACATGCGCATTCTATTAATATTTTTGTTTCCAATAAATTTCATGGTATAAAATTTTTCTTTAAAGTGCAGGAAACGAAGTTTTTTCTTTTGTTTTTAAAATAGAAATTATGTTATATTGTATCAAATTCAAAAATTGTTTTATTTGATAAAAATAATTCTTTAAAATTTACAATAATAATTGCTTATTGCTAATCTGAATCTTCCTTTTTTTTGTAAGGAAATGTAAATAGAATCAAATTTTGTTTGCTAAAAATTGCTTTTCTTCTTGTTTCATTTCATTTATTTCATTTGCAGGAACTAATTTCAAAACATATCGCGCAACAAGTAGTAATGGAGAACTATTTGCAATTCGAAAAAATCGTAAGCAAGATCAAAGTACGGAAATTTATGAAATTGATGAAAAAGTTCAGGAAGAGATTGCTAATTTAATGAAGTTACAAATAGAAGTGGTAATTTAATATTTAATAATTGTATTCAATAATTGAAATTAATTTAATATTCGATAACCACAGTTTAATGAAAAATTTTTATTTTATAAATAATTCGTGGAATTTTACTTGATAAAATGAAACTTCATCTAATAATTAATTATTTACAGTTGAATAAATGTAGTTTTATGCAATAAAAAATTATTTGTTAATAAAACATGAAATAATAATTATAGTAAAAAAAGATTATTTAGGATTTAGAAATGAAAAAACTTATCGGTGAGCATTCAAATATTACTACACTGATCGGTTTTCGTCAAGTGGGTCTCTGTTGGGAACAATTTATGGAATATGTCGATGGTGGATCGCTTTTTAATTATATTAATGAGAATTACACCAAAAGTAGGAATAGTATTGCAATGTTAATTTATATTTTTAAATAATTAATAATTTCTAATTTACAGTTTAAAAACTTCCTTTGTTTTAATTTTTATGTTTTCAATATAATTTCAGAACATATATATATATGTACGGCTTAAAATAACAAATAACTTTAACTGTAGAAAATCGATTACTGGAAGTTGAAAAAGCGCGATCATTCTTCACTGATCTGTTAAATGCAGTGGAACATATTCATAGCTTGAGAATTGCACACATGGATATCAAACTTGAAAATTGTCTCATCACTAAAAATGGTATAATTTAAAGAAAATATACATTAAGAAAATTAGGAAAAAAATTTGAAAATATAAATTAAGCATTTTATAAAAATTTTCGAGAAACTAGAATAAAATTATGTCTCTTTTAAATTATTTATAATTCCAGTATAATTTATACTAAGCATGAAATTCTTCACATCAATTGCAACATTTCTACTTAAATTTTTGCTGCAAAAATCAGTTAAATTTCAGGAACTGTAAAATTAACAGATTTTGATGAAGCAAGATATTTCATACCTAATCTTAAAGTTCCTTATCCAGTATATTTCACTTTATCATACGCTGCACCTGAAACATTCACAAAACGATACCTGTATGTATCCATTTTATTTTAATATTCATTTAGATGAGAAAGAACATTTTAATTATTTCTAAATCTTAAATAAACTTGGTATACAGCGATGATCTTCTAATAAAATTATGTAAATTTCAAAAATTTGCATAATTTTCATAAATTTCGAAAAATTTTTTTAAAAAAAAATAAAAAATTAAGATAAATGTACAGCGACTATTGGAAGTCAAAATATGAAGTGTTAAATCCGTCCAATTTTTGTACATATTTATCATTATGCATTTAAAAATTATTGTTTTCCAGTCCAAACTGTGCAGATATTTGGGCATGCGGAATCTTTTTGTATTTTTTGCTACAAAAACGTTTTCCATGGAATATTGCAAATAGGTGATTTTTTCTATTCCACTTTTCGATTATTTAATATTAAATATTTTAGAAATGAAGTATAATGCATTCATTCGTTAATCATCACAAATTGCAAACTTTTCAAAGTTGCAGTTAAAACTTTCTTTTTTATCGAAAATAAAAGGTTATTTCTATAGTAGAAAAGATGCTGTTTATCGGAAATGGTCAAGAATTCATGATAAAAGCGTGCTGTCAACTTTTCCGGAATGCTATGGATGTGTTTCAGGTGAATTAACAGATATAGCTTGAAGGGTACAATTATTTCCCATTGCAAATTCTGATTTTAAATTTAAACTTTTCAATTATTACTAAGTCTTAAAGCGAAAATTTATTTGGTCGCAAATTGCGAAAAACAATTTTTCTAAAAATATGAATGATTTCTTGTTATTCAATCATTACAAAATAAAAGGAATATCATCTGCTTTTAGAGTGGACAGGAATTTCTTGGAGAAATTTCTTTGTCACTAAATTAATCAGAAATTGTGATTGAAAAATTGAATACAAAAAAATTAAAAGTAGGCTATTTGTTTTGGAGTTGAAAGTAATTTATGCTGGTGAAAATACTTTTTTGCAGATCTTCTGATGAAAATTCTGAATGTAAAAGTAGAAAAAAGGGCTACACTGGAAGAAATGCAAATGCATGCATGGTTACAAAATAAAACAAAATATTGAATTTTTATTTTAGAAAAAAAAGGAGAACAAGTTTAAGAAAATGGATTTTAGCTTGTAATTGTTGAAAATGATAATTCCATTATTGTTTTTTGAAAAATTTGTTTAATGTTTTCAATACTTTTGTTTATTACCATTCTTACATTTCTAAATTTATCGACACTTTTTTTTCGCATTATTAGGATAAATAATAATAAAATTTGGTAAAATCATCGTTTTAATCACATTTTTTTTGAATAGTATTGAAAAACTGATTGAGTGGATATAGATAACGATTATTAGATTCTTCAGTAATTTAATTATATTTGTACATCTATGCTCGTAGTTTGAATATGTTTAGAAAATTATTTTACATAAATAGTGAAACGGATAATGAAACAAACATGGTACATTAAAATATATCAGTAGAATAATTATTAGTTATTAATAGTTTTAAAAAATTGCAAAATTTGAAATCGAACACAGATAAATAGCAATCACCAATAACAAGCTAGCTTTGCAATGCACATGCTAAAATTTGAATATTCAATAAGGCTAAATTTTTTGAAATAATCTTGAAATTAGGTTCAGCAAAAATTTTTATGCATAAAACAATGACTATTTGAAATTAATTCACTATTGTCATCAGTTCTGGCGGATATTCCGGTCGCTTTTAACGGCGTGTGAGCATACGTGTAGCAATATTACTTCTGCTTGAGGTGATTTTTTTGCTTCGAATATTTATTTGGTGAAAATTTTGGTTATTATATTTCTTTTTAAAACTCTCACTGAAATTTTCAATAACTATTTGCAGGCAGTTACGTGAAAATACAACTATTATTCACGAATAATTATTGTTGTAAGAAAGATTTCATCATAAAATCTTTTCTTTAATATTTCCCCCAAAATTTAAAAAATTTTCAAACAAAATTTTTCTTTCTATTTCATACATATTAAAGAAGCTGTTGTGAATAATTCATTTCAGAAAATTTTTGAATATCTTCATCTCATTAGCAATACTGGTTAACTTCCTGGAAATGCTAAAAATGAATCGATTGAATTCAGCGAATCGCGGAGACGAACGACGACGATCGCGGATTGGAAGTTCATTGCCCGAAGAATTCTATGATTACCTTGATAAACGAGGTTAAAATTTATTTTAAATAGGATTGTGATCAAAATTTACAACGTTAACATTTTCAGTATGAACACTTTTGTAATCTGGAATGGAAGACCGGTAACACTTTTGTAATCTTTGATCTGAAAACGAAAAAGAATTCGATCATGAATTATTTCCTTTCCCGAGCAATTTATCCATTCTACCCATTCCAACTATTACAATTCAGACTGCCCTCTGAACTCTCAGCCTTTCGCCTCACCAATTCCCCTGAATGTCGGCAAATTTTGATGGGCCAAAAAAAGTGATGTTATAATGGAAAGTTGTTTTGGAGGGATTGATTCAAAAGATTAATGCATTGATTGGTTTGATGAAATAGTATGTAACAAATTGGAAAGATGTTGAGAAATAGCATTATTTTAAGATAGCATTAGTAGGAAATGAGAGAAAGTGTATCAAAAAATATACCTTTTCGGAGCAATAACCGAGAATAAAAGAAAGTGTGCACGATGAATGGAGAATTGAAAGAAATAAATGTTTGCGACATATAATGAGATGAAGAAGAAAGAGGGGGTGGAAAGATTAGAAAGTGGCCAGAGATACAGTGTTATAGCAGAGGTTGGCAGGGTGATGGTGTGAAAATTATACGCCGAGCACAATGCCTTATTTGCTTTGGATCATATCTGCAGCATCTTATTGTTTCCACAATGCCTTATTGTATTGGATAACATCTACAATGTCTTATTGTTTCCACAGTATCTTATTGTATCGAATAAAAATTAATTACTAATATCAAAGTATTTTTCAATATATAATACTGGTCTTGATCATTTTTTCAGATTTGGTACGTAATGACCGTTTACTGAAACGTTTCGGTAAACGATTACTCCGTGCTCTTAAACAGCCGTTGCTGAGACGTCATCGATCAAACCTGACGCTATTAGATGAGGAGATTGATTCGAATTTCTCACTGGCTATAATCCCTAAACGTGCATTTTCATTGCTTAATCAGCGAATATTATTGTCAAAAGAGGTATTAGAATATTTTTGAGATTTTTTTTTCGGTTAAACTTAAATACTTTTAATTGTTGATCTTATTATTGGTTGATATCAATCGATTGTTGAAAGAACATTTAGCAAATCATACGGTTATGGGTAGTTTAAGATCTGTGTAAAATATGTATTATTGAACAAAGGGAGAGTATGGTAAGTTATTTTTAAAGGGTCATAATGCTATCATGCGACAGAAAATTTCGGTAGTAGCCAATCTGTAAGTACGATGCTTAGATCACAATAAGCTTGGGCATCTTTCCCCGCCTCTCATTCCCTAGAAGTGAGGAATTCTCGGTAATTGAATATTGATTGCGGGAAAAATTCGACAGATTATAGTTTCAAAGTAATACATGTAATAAGTGATTGCAGATTAGAATCAAATAATGATGGGATAGAATCAAGCTAGTAGTTGTCATTCTTATGTGCATCATTCAGCTAGTTTTGTAAGACTTTATAGATTTGAAGAGCGTTTGAATAATGCTTTTTTTTTCTTTTCAGAACAATTTAATGGAAGATTACATGGAAGATTCGAAATTAACTAATGGAATGGTTTCGAAAGATGTAAAGTCTTAGTGCTTGCAATTATATTTTTTTGTGGGTTCACATAATTAGATAATAGGACTAGAAAGACCGAAAGAGAGGGTTAATCAAACAGAAACATTTTTTTGATAGTAATACGTTCGTTTTAATTGTAATGTTTTAGCGTCCTGTAAACAGTGATGATATATCATTGCACGGTGAAGAAACGATGATAATAAAATTGGAAAAAGAAAATGGTGGTATGTTGGATTTTCAAATTTTGATTTTTTGAATTCATGTTTACCGAAAATTGAATGTATTTCGTTATTCTTTGACTGTTGATATTTTACAGTAAACTTCGTTTTATAATCCGCATTACTTTCCGAAAATTGTGACTTGCAACATCGATACAATTCAGTCAGTATGATATAATTTATGATGTTCAGTTCACGTAAAGTTCCATTACGTAGATTTGGTATGTATATTACAATTTTTGTCGCAATTCATAAAAACAGCTTCGACAGTCTGATATCTAGAATTTGGTTTCAATATTGTTGGCGGTACTGACCAAGAATACATCCCGGGAGAACCGGGTATATTCGTTTCAAATGTACGGAATGGTGGTGCAGCTTCTCATGATACAGAACTGAAGATCGGCGATCGTATCATTTCGGTAATTTTTAAATTTGGAAGATCAGAAAAAAATTTTTTTTCAATTTCCCCGATTTTGGAGTGTAAGTTGTGATATTTTGTAGGTGAATGGTATACTACTTACTGGTAAAACACATAATGACGCTGTACAAATTTTTCACAATATTCAGGGCAGTGCGGTGTTTATGATCGAGCAGGGTGCAGAGTCACGAATTCTGAATGTAAATTTTTTTTAGTCCACGGATTTCTTAGGATTGCAGTTTTTAATTCGGATTTATTTTAAATATTAGCTTCGTCAGTTTCATTTGTTCAAGACAAATTTCATATTTCCTTTTTTGTCGAATAACTCATTCAATCCAACAAAGGAAGTCTGTAATAGAGTCAGCTTATAACGTACAACAAATATATTGAAATGACAAGTGACAACATTTTGTGTAAAGCATCTTTCTTCAACGACATAATACGTCGATAATACTAGCAGTTAACTATCATTTCAAAGTTAGAACAGTTTTCGAATTTGTTCCCATTGATTTTTTTATCAATATTTTGTCATTTAATTCTTTCACGAAAATTTTTACTGAATAAAAGTCGAAAGACCAGTTTTATTGATAGGTTGCCAGCATCAATCAAAAATATTGTTAACGATCAGTTCATTTAAAATTTCATGTGATTTAAGTTTACAAAGCCATAGTCGATACTCGAAAGATACTCCTGCAAGTTGTGCTTGCTCTTTTATTCTATTGCAAAATGTCAAATTTTTTTGTTGCTGTATCCATCCTCAAGTTTTTATATTTTGATATTATAACTAAAATCATTTCGTTGTTCGTTTGCAGTCCTATCAGACATTATTAGAATGGAAGTATATAAAACTTTTTTTCAATCTCTTTTGAATATCGTGAAATTGAGACTTGGTTGCTAGAATACTGAAAATTTGCGCGGATTTTCTGAAGTGAAATTTTTACTTTCCTACTTTAGGTTTTTGTTTTTTCGTTCCAGATAGATTATATATAGTTCCTGGTTCTAGTTTTTTTGTAATCAATATATTACTGGAAGTTAGATTTACCTTTCCAATTGATTTTAATTTATTTAAGATTCTGTTAAAAGTATGTTGCTTACAAATTATACTGTTAACGGTTATTTCGTTTAGAATTTCACATGATTTAAGTTTACAAAGCCATAATAGATGCTCGAAACTTACGTACTGATGTTTATTAAGTTATCATGGAAGGCTGAGAAAAGAAGTCGGAGTGAATTCATGTTTTAGACTAACAGAGTTATAGATATTTTCAATTGGCTCAACGTAAAACTTTTTGGAATGTTAAGACAAGTAACGCGTATTTCTTATAACATATGCAATTCTCACGAGAGGGATGCTAAATAAAGGATTCCGCCCAAACCAATTCATTTTAAATAATAAGGAAGAGAGAACTGAAGTTAACTTCGCCACAGTGATTTTTTCTTGCCTAAAGATTTGTTAATTTTTTTTTTTGAATTTTTGTACTGGAAACCTTACTCAAAATCTTCAGAAGATTTAGTGAACATAGAATTTTAGATTGTATATGCTTCGTTGTTTAATTTTTATATTGCGAAATCGAGCAGCAGCTGTTGTTCTGCTATCAGTTTTCAAAATTCATAGCTAAGCTTGCCATAGTTCATACCAACAGATATTCGACAATTAGTTCATAATAACAAATCGATGATTCAGAAACACATCCAAATCTCTTTCAATACCTCATAATCATTTTCATTTGGTTGTAGGATAGATGTATCGCTTTAGTCGGAAATTTTTATTTGTTGTTAATTTCAGTAATGTTGTAATGCAATTATATGGATCTGTCGCAGATTTCAATTACACCTGAAAACAAATGATGTAATTTGAAGGTGTTTTGAGGGGTCTGATCTTTTTTTAAGTTTGAATATAGATTATTAGAGGATATTTGAAAATTATGAGCTATTATTAAGGAGACAAAATCGAATGTACAAAACTACCTGGCTTTGTAATATGTAATAAGATAGCAGTCCACTTTTTGTCCGATTGTTAGGCCATTATTAGAACTAATTTAATATCGATTTTAAATAATTTGTCATTCCAGCTCGATAAAAAGTATAAATCAGTTATTTCTTGTTTTTTTGTGGAGTCATTGTGCTTTCGAGTTTTTAAGTAATTTAATAAAAGATAAAAAGATTCATAAGAAAGCGGCAGATTATCAACTTTATTTTTCCGCTTCAGAAACCAACGCAACTCTCGGGTGTTGTAAGTTCTAACGAAAGTATATCATCATCAAGAAGTGACCAAAGAGGATTTTCTCTCAATCAACCTTCAAATATATCGTCGAAGTCTGCGAATCTGTGCGCGTCACGGATCATGCCAGAATCAGCTAAAGTGGAAAAGAAGAACCCACCAGTTGATGAAAGTAATAAATCACTTTCAATTTGACATTAAAAATTTGAGTCTGTGAAATTTCTGTTTTCCTTTTCGCAGTGATGCTTTTCGTGAATTTTAAGTTTTCTGTTAGCTACTTTAATCTATTTCATTTCTATTCATTTGGTTTCTTCCATCTTTTGATTGTGATGGAAGATTATTTGATAAAATTTTATTTTCAGTGGTATATTTGGCATCTAATTCAGCAAATAATGATTACACAGATAGCAAATACATGAAGAAAAGTGAAGCAGAGAGCCGAAATGAAGAAAATTTAATGGAACATGAACAAATGTTGGAAATATCAGTTACAACAGCATCACCACTTACACGTTAGTTATTATTTTTATTTTATTTTTTTATTTCTAGATTCCAAAAATATTTCATGAAGTTCTCTGTCTTCTTTTCTTTTTAAATTTATCTAAGTTTTAACATATCATCCATTCAGTTTTCATCATTTTATTTCCTTTCATGACAGATTGCACTTTTTTCTTTTTTTTAAAATAATCACAATCAAGGTTTCATGCTTTGTTTTCAAAATCCAATCATCATTTATTGTACCTGATATTATATCCCGCATAGTCTACTATTTACTTTTTTAGTAGTGATTTTTTTCAAGTATATTTCAAATTATTAGTTTGCAGTGGAGTATAAATACTATAAAAGTATATGCCCCCCTGAATGTTCTCTACACCGTGACCTTTTTAAGATAATGTTTATCCTTTGTCAGGCAGCATGTTTTTTTTTTTTTTCACTGAAGAACTATATTTTGTATCACTCGAGAAAAACAAAACAGAGAAGAAAAAAGCAAGTTTAGATAGCTGCAAGCTAATGTGATCTAATATAATTTTGCCCTTAGAAAAGCCAACGATATCTATTTGCTCCTATTGAAATATATCGTTTTTCAATATTGAATATTCATCTGCCATTAAACAATCGATAATTTTAGCTGTTTAACCACTAAATTCAATATGAATTTTTTTACTCATTCCAAAATTATTGTCAAATTGTGGAGCTCGCCGTACTGAATTTTAAATTCAGTTTAACAGCGGTCTTTTAAGCTTTATTTTTCTGAACAAATGTTTAATTTCCTGAAACTTTAAGTTATTTTTGTTGAAATATTATAACTATTTTGCAGAAATTTAGAATTGGATGTTTAGGAAGTTTAGAAATGTTACATTAAATAAAATATGATATGAATCTTTTATTGGATACTTCCGGGTTTCGTAATTATATGCTGCGGAATTCAGTTGGAAGTAAAACATTTATTTCTAATTTTTGAGAAGCATTATTAGTTAATTTTGCCGATTCCGAATGAAGAAAACAAATAATTTGTGATTCAGCAACTGTGAAACTTGCTTTTGGAAGGTCATCACAATTAAAAGTTGTTAACCAAGTTGCGTTAGAAGAAGACATTGACTTTACATTATTATCATAATCATATTTCCCAGTGGAAGCAGAAAGCATAAAACAGAAATTATCTAAAAATAGATTGAAGATAGAATTGAAAGGTTCAGAATGATTACTCACTTTTGAATTTATCTATATTTGCAAATTTTCCTTTTTTCAATAGTTTTTCAGTAGTCCGCTTGTTTCCAATTATTATAGTATTGAGATTTTGTAACTTTTTAAATTCGTATTCAATTTGATTTATTTTTTCTTCATTTTTAGCATTAAAAGATGAAACAGCAAGGTCGATCGATGAAAAGAGTGAAGGACCCATTTTACTGACTAATGATGATAATCGTGATGATAACGATCATTACAATTATGAAGATGAAAATGCTTTAACAACCCTCTCAAGTTCTGTTATAGATGACATTCCAATCACTCCTAAAAAGCCATATAAATTGTTTGATCCTTCAAAGTAGGTGTTGCTTTTAATTATTTTTAAAAAAAATAATTTTTCAATTTGTACAGTGAAACATTTTTTAAAAAAAATGTTTCATTGTACAAATTTGAAAGGTAGCAATCTATATTATCAAAACAGGAAGTGAGCAAGTAAACCTGCAAACTTTCTATTTGGAATTCAAAAACTGATGCACAGAGTAATAACTTTGCTTCAACTTGTTTTTTTATGTAAATATATTTTTCTTTTTTTAATTTCAATTTTACTCCACAATTTCAGCGCGTCCGTGTTCAACGAAGTTCTGGCTGTTTCGGTTGGTATCGTAGCACTGGGAATTGGAATTTACGTTGTATATCGTTTTGTTAAGTGTCGATTAACCCGATGAACTCTTCATTCTACCGTTTCGATTAGCTCGATGAACTCTTCATTCTACCTTGTAATAAAGTACTGAGCAGTTTTCGTTTTCAAGAACGGTGAATCCAATCACAAGTTTTGAATCACTTCTTTGCTGCAATATTTCAAACCGGCAAAACTATATGAAAATCAGTACTTTTTGATATTTGCTTGCTCATGTTGTTGTTCGATATTCGGGTTCTTTGCCTTTTTATCGTATATACATTGGTATTTTAGATGTTTTTCTGACCAACTTTGAAACTTAGATTAAATTCAATAAATGTAATGACTTAGCAGATCTGTAATGCTTAATGTTCGTTGAAATTCATCGCTGTTCAACTCTTTTATATCATGTTTAAATCTTATCTGGCATCACAAGAATCCCTTTCTTGTAATAGATTTTTTCTGATTTTATAGATTTTCTGATTAAAAAAAATTTTTTCATGTTCTTTGTAGTAAAATTTCTATTACAAAAACATGAAATTCAAAAGTTTTTTTAGAATTATTCGAATCTTTTGTCCTTCCTACCATTGGTGTTGAATAAAATTTAATTGCTAGAACAAATGTCGTTTTTTTTCATTAAAAAAAGTTCGTCGAAGTTAGTCCAATGGTTCCACATTACTTTTTGTCATAACCTGTTTTACAACGATTTATCCTAGCAAGACTGTTTCACTTTTTTTTTTCAATTTCTGATCGCAAGAAAAAGTCCGCGTAACGAATGCAATATGCCACCCACATTGGGTTATTGAAATCACAACATGGAAGTACCATCGAGTCTCTCGCAAACTTTTGATGAGATGTTGCCTTTCAAGTTCTGAAAGTTGTTCCTCAGATCTTCGGGACCGATTTGTTTTTTTGACTTTCTTAAAATGCTAAGAATGGAAAACACGAACCAACGAAATTAATATATTTTGTGCGTTTCATATTTAAACTCTCTTTTTTCAGAAACGGATCCAACCATTCCGAGTTCATATGCGATGAGATTTGATGTTAATGAAAAAACACTATTTGAGATATTTGTTATTACAAATTCGAAATATTACTGGCAAACAAATTGTCGTCCCAAAGATGATTTCTGAACCTATTGTACCAATCACTCGGAAAATTGATACGCCTCAGTTTAAAGCACTTTTTACACCGGAACTTATCAAACTTAATGATCTCTTCAAAAATAATAATTTTCAGCTACGGTAAGTATTGCAAACTATAATGTTTTCCGCATCTTATATTGATATCTCAAAGTTAAAATATTTTATTCACATCTTATACTACTTTACTCTCACTTGGTGCTTTATATTATCATCTCTAATTGATAGAAATTTAGAGTTTAAATTATTATCTCATTATACAAATTGTTCGGTTATCTGTGCTTACATTTTGTTATATCTCTATTCAGTACTGAATGTTGTAATAAGATTATTTTTGATAAGAATTATTGTGTGGATGAAGATGTTTTGTTGAAATTAATTTTATCGCTTAACTTATTAAAAAATACGGTGTGCAACTTCAATCATTTTAATTATTTCTTTTTGTATACTTCATATTTTCAAAATTTGTCCTTTTTTTTACTTTTGTTTTTGTTTAACCTTTCATCCTTTCTTTTCACAGGATGGCTGGTGGTGCAGTTCGTGATCTATTAATGGGTATAAAACCATCTGATGTCGATTTTGCTACAAACGCAACACCAAGTGAAATGAAGGTCAATTTTTCAATTTCCCATAATTAATGATATCAGTTAAGAATGATTATATTTTTTCGGTATTTTACTTGTTTGTTAGTTATATGAGATGGAATCTCTAAAAAAGAAAAGATATGGGTCTTTATGGTACTATTACGATTATGAAACGGACGAATTCCTTGGTTTATCAAGTTAATATTGATGAATTTATAATTAGAATTAGTGATTGAAAATATATGAGGTGTGAAAAAGTGAAATTAAAAGTCACACAAGATTTTTTGTGATTATCTATCGGCTCCTGTATCAAATTCTGCAGTTTTGTTTAAATAATTTGATTTCAATAAAATTGTTGCTTCAGAAATTATTTATCCGAGAAGGTATCCGTATGTTGAATAAAAATGGTGAAGAACATGGAACGATTACTTGTCGTATCGATGATAAGGAAAATTTCGAAATTACAACTTTAAGGCTTGTAAATTCTTGATATTATATAAGACTAGTAAATGTTAAGCGTTGCTGATCCATTAGTAAAAAAAACTGTTTTACTAGTCTATTTTGGCCGTTCATAGGTTCTTAATTTAGAATCAAGAAATTATAATGTTGTGCCCAGTTTATCTTATAAGTACCAAATTAGCAAGGATCTCATATATAGATTACTTACCACATTTATTTCAGGGTTGATATTGTTTGTGATGGACGACGGGCAAAGATTGAATTCACAACCAGTTGGCAACTCGATGCGAATAGGCGTGACCTGACTGTTAATTCACTTTTCTTAGGCAAGTTAATTGTTTACTTCTGGAATTTTTTAGGTATAAGAAAAAATTTTGCTTTGGAGGATATAATTTTTTTAGACTTGGATGGCACCGTTATTGATTATTTCGGCGGAATAAAAGATTTGGAAAATCGGAAAATTGTTTTTGTAGGCGATGCAAATCAAAGGATTCAGGTGTTTCTGCGATCTTCAAATTGATCTTTTTCTGTATCTTCTGTGTAATTAAAGTTTTAAGTTTTTCTATCAAATCTTTAGTTACTCAATCATTAGATCTTGTAACAAGATAACGTCTTTTTCTAGGAAGATTATTTGAGGATATTGCGATATTTCCGTTTTTTTGGTAGATTGGCGCTGGACGGTGAAGCACATGAGAAAGCAACATTGGATGCTATTATCTTGAATGGAAGTGGCTTAAAAGTCAGTTCATTCTTCTCAATTGAAATATTATTATTATGTTAAGATGATTGTGATTTAGGATAAGGAAGTTCAAGATAATTTAAATTTGATTATAATATATTTTTCAAATACATTATTCATCACTTCGCCTGCATTGTTTCGGAGTATTAACTTAGAAGCGGAAACCAATCTATCACTTTAATGATTCCTCAAGCTTTTAAAACCATCTTTGGTGCTAGTAGTAATGATCATTTTAACCTTATCTATTGTGAACAATTATATTTAACTTTTCCACGATTTGAATCGAGAGACTTAGAATTAGATATCCAGTGATTCACATTCAACATTTTTTAAGGATATAAGTGGTGAACGAATTTGGATGGAACTGAAGAAAATTTGTGTTGGCCGCCTGGGTGGTGAAGTATTAACAACGATGTTAAAACAATGTAATTTAGCTTTTTTATTGGGACTTTCGGAAAATGCAGATACAACATACTTCTGCAGTTTGCATAAACGTTACTATCCAAAAATAGAAGCTATGACTTTATTATCTTCATTATTCATTGAAGCGGAACAAATTGAAATATTTCATAGAAGGTTATTCATCTTTATTCATCTTTTAGAGTAACTGTAGAAAATTTTGTTTTCTGAAAGAAATTAGGTACCAAAAACTATTCTCGGATAAAACTAGTACTAAACTATTAATAAAATTTGTTACTAAAATTAAATTCATGCTCGAAAATCGCCAAAATTGAATTATCAATTTATATGCATATCTAACACTATGATTAGCATGTTTTCAACTACCATAAGTCAGAATGCATTTCTTAAAAAATGATAATATTGTTTGAAATTGTTAATGTAATTTTTTTTATTGAGACGAACTGGAAGTAAAATATTGAACTGATTGTAAAATTTGTGTTTTCAATAATTTATATTAATACCGAATATATTAATATATGAGAAATAATTTATGTGTAAATCAAAGTATGTACATTTTAATTCTGTCAAATTACCGATTTTTTCTCACAAATAAATGCATTCTGACTTAATCAACCTGATAAATTTTGTAATTTTCACCAGCAAATTTTATTTATTTCAGTTTGCACTAATGTATATCTTTTTTAGGCTACTGAAAATGTTTTTCTGTTTTATTGATTTGCCAGATACTTAATCAAAGTATTATATCACAACCGAAGCAATTATATGTGTCACTCAATAAAATAAATTTTGCAGCAGATGCAAATTTCTTTCAGATGCAAATTATCGCATGCCGAGAAAACATTGGCCGAGTTTATTTTGGAACATCGTGATGAGGCAAAAAAGAATGCTAATTCAGTCTTATTTTTCAAAAATATCTTATTGAACGAAGAACGATTGCATAAGTTTACGAGTAAACTTTTTCTTTCATTCTAGGATTTATGAATATTGGGATGAATTTATATAAAATTTATTGAAATTAGAAAAAATTTTCAAGTTCTATATCAAATCAGTAGATAAAAATATGAGTAATTTTCATCTTGATTGCAGGAAAGAAAGTCCAAACAAGCCGAGAAAAAGTAATCGAATTAGCAAAATATGTAATGGTTGGTGACGAACTGATCAACGAGTTGAATATTTGGGAGCCGCCAACATTCCCCGTCGGCGGACTCGATTTGATGCATAATGATATTTCACCTGGATCGCATGTTAAACTGATTCTTGATCATCTTTTTAAAGTATGGATCGAGGTATGTTTGTTTTGAATTTTCTACATTTGTTAGAAATTAGTCAATTTTTGTCTGTCAGACTTTTTGACCTTACTAAATTCTGCATTGATGCATGCAATTTTTGTTAGAAAGTTTACAGTTGGGGAAAATTAAGTGAAACAAAATATGATCTGGCTGTCTCAAATTCTTTTCTACAGAATGCAATTTATAACATGTCTGATATTTTTAATTTGTAATTTACGAAATTCATCTGAGCAGAAATTTTTGAAATTAAATATGAATTCGCTATAGAGTGAATGGACAATGAGCAAAGAAGAGTTATTAAAGCATGTCAATGATATTGACTGGGATGAGAAAACTCGCCCAGGACACAAACGAAAGCATAGCCCTGGTACCAGCTGATATTAAATTTGGAGTGAAGAAAAACGATATTTAAACTTTGGTTTTTTTTTCTATCATTTCAATAAATCATTTGCCATTCCCTTGTAATTTGTTTAAAATATCGATATGTAAATCAAGTTTTCGAATGAAAAAATTGAAATTCCTCTGGTCTAAAACGCACTAAGAATATTCAAATTTATTTTTTAACTAAAACAGGGGAAATATGGAATACTTGTGGACGCAAGCACAGCACAATTACAAGATAAAAGAATAATTGCAAGATAAAAAAAGATGGCACTGATCTTGGAATACATTGATGTTGGAAATTGAAACGATGCCTTTAAAAGAAAGTCAAAATTTCGTTATAAAGGATAGGAGCTTATGTGGAGCCTTTACTTACAGTTGAGTTTGGATCATGAAATAGGGGATTAAGGATATATTAACTGGTATGAAACTGCCAGTAATCGAGAACAAGAAAAATGAAGGAAGTGTTTTTCACTATTGTTTTTTACTACCGTCTGTCGGTTGTTATAAATAACAGGAGATTTCTTATCAAAAATGTCCCTCTTATGAGTTTGTGATAACTGATCTCACGGAAAAATTTTTATCTGTGAAGAAAGATGATAAACAATAAACAATACCAATATAATTTCATGAGTGATTTATCAAACATCGATATGAACAAATCACAGTATCTCTCGAATCCAAGCGCAATAAAATAATTTTTCAAAAAAAAAAATGTCGACAAAATATTGAAAGTCTTTTTCAAAAATTGATTGAATTAAAAGCTATCTAGTTTTTTTCCCTTTGAAGACCGATACACAAAGGAATATAATCTAACAAACTGTTTTCATAATTTTCATTCTTTCCTTTTTACTTTTAGCAACGCTCTCCCCTCACTGAGAATGACAATTAGCCAGATATCCTGTTGACCGTAATCGAATTATGGCGCAAGTTTAAATCCAAAAGTTAGGATTAATTCAATGAATAAAATCGTTTTTCAGTTCGTCAACTCTTTCACTTAAAATGATGAATCAGAAACTGGCAAGCAAGATAAAATCAGTTTCGTATGTATATGCTTGCTACAAAAATCCGAAGGTGTGAAGCTCAGAAATAACAGCAGAGAGAAAAAAGACTAACAAACTGTATATTCTTATATAAATGTCATTTTAATCGCACTGTCCAGCTGTTGCCGCATATTTTCGTAACTTCTGCAACATCCGCTCATTTGTTGAAGGTTTGATAGCTTTCATTGCAATCTCAAAATCATTCAGTGTTATCGGACGAATTTCCGTACTGGCCAAATTCTTTATATCTTTACGAGACAGATCACGAATTGGTACCATTGCTGCTTCACGACAAAGTGCAACGAGGTCTGAATTAGAGTATCCATGCGTCCGATCTGCCAAAATTCTGAAAATCGACATAAGATATGAAGTGATAATGATGTGATAAACAGTGTACAAAACTCGATATCTGTTCCATTCATAATATTTAGAAGCAGTTGGGAATTTAAAAATGAAAATAAAAGATTAGATTACTTCAATGACCTGTACACTGTTTATCACATCATTAAAATTTATGACAAAATTCCCAAATAAATGTACTGCTCATAGAAAATTTAAAAAAGTTTTAGTGCTTCAGCAAAAACATTTTAATGCTTCAGCACACTCCTAATATCTATATTACTTCACCATCTAAAAAGTCATGATATAAATGATTAAATTTATTTTCGATCACAGTAGGTTTGGCGAAAACAATAAGCAGAGGTCAAGAACTACCTTCAAAAATAACGCGGTAAAAACCTACTTAATGAGCAAAAATTGAAAACGGCTGGAGAAAAAGAAATTCAGAATTACTTACTGCCTTTGTGCAAGACTTAGATCAAATGAAGTTTTCGTTTTTTCCAGCAATAATATGATTAGTTTAAGGCGTGCCACTGAATTTGGTACATCTATGAGAATTCGCTTCGGAAATCGGCGTAAAATGGCTGAATCAAGCTCCTCAGGACGATTCGTTGCACCAATCACCAGTAAGCGATCATCTTTTGACGACAATATACCATCCATCTGAATTAGAAATTCTGTCTTCATACGCCTTGAAACCTGAAATTTAACTGTATTTCACTTATTTTAAAGTTGAAATACTAAATATGAGGACAATGAATCCTGACCAATATGAAAAAAAATCTAGGCTGATGTATCTAAACTTAATAATTATTAATGAAATCCATTGAACAAACCTCAGTTTCCTTTTCACTGCGTTCACACAGAATAGAGTCAATTTCATCGATGAATATGATTGTTGGCTGCCCATTACGAGCAATTTGAAATAAAGCACGAACAATTTTTTCAGCATCACCAACCCATTTCGAAGTTAGTGAAGCTGCCGAAACATTCAAGAACATCGTTGAACCGCATTCTGAGGCTACAGCACGAGCCTGAAATCTGAAAGTCCAACAAACCAACAAATTTTGGAACCCAATATTAGTTACATACTAAGTAGAGACTGACCAATCATGGGATATGTCTACAAGCTTCCAAATTTTGAAGAATAAGAAATTAAAAAGTGCCTCAGAATAAATATACCAGCAATGTTTTGCCGTTTCCTGGTGGACCAAATAACAAAATTCCCTGCGCAGGTTGACGAAGACCAGAAAATAAGGATGGATTAACAGTTGGAAGGATAACTGTCTCTTCTAAAGCCCGTTTGGCTGTTTCAGCACCTACAATATCGCTCATCCTTACGTCATCTTGATTCAAAATTTCATTCAGTAACGGTTCACCAAATCTGTCATCGACACCCTTCAGAAGATTGTTCCGAGTACGAGCATTCTGAAAACCAAAGTAAAGTTTGAATGAAACGAATTTTCTCGATTTGAGCACTTCAAATTACTGAATGAGATTACAACAAAAGATAACAGTAGGCTGAAAAAAAAGGAGAAAATTAGAAATTTGTTTTCAAAAAGATAAAATTCATTTTCACGAAGATTTTCTCCAACATCGAGTGATTACTGGAGCCTTATAGACCCACAACTTACTCCTCACCTTCTACAAGAACGTTCTATATATAAAACAATAATATTCATCTAAACAAGAAATATCTAGTGCAAAAAACCTTACCACTTGCTTCCTGCCTATTCCTTTCTTATTATGAGATCAATCTTTCATATTTTGATTTAATTCCTTCTAGTATTTAACAAAGCTCAAAATTAAATTGTACTTAATTATTTTCCTAACTGACGTGCAACTATTCACCTTCCTTCTCCATTATTCTTTATCTATTCCTTTTCAATTCTAGGAATTCTTTCCAAACGATTATAAACAATAACTCACCAAATGATTAGTGTTCTTCTTTTCGGAAATGATATGCTGACCGGATGGTTGGACCATTTGTCGTTTGCTAACTGAAGGTGGAACAAACTGAACAGGTCTACGTTGTAAATTTCGATTCCCCGTTGATGAGAACATTTTTTCTGAACAAGAAAAATAAATTTTCGATGTTCAGCGGAATTCTATGTGCCTATAGTTAAATATACCACCACTGAACTAAATCTTAAAATTCCAAAACAGCGGGTTAAATTCTAAATGCAGAAAACTGGTTAATAAAAAAGAATAAAAAATCATTAAATATTATCGGGACCAATTTGAGAGCAGATACGTAAATGGTCCGCGTCAAAATTAAAAAAGAAAATCGGTATAAAGCAGTCTAAAATTTATAAGTATGCTTTTTGCTATAAACGATAATGTATTTAAGCTACCGAGATCACTGAGTCTTCCCTTTGTTGCTACCAAATTTCGTTTCATTATTTCACGATGTGTCTCAACTTCACTTCGTTTCTCCGAATGTACTTTATCTGGTGATATTTTCAAAGCCTTCTCAAAATATTCGATACCAACACGGTATTTCTCCATTACTATCCGTTTTTTTTGTTCGTCTGAAAAAATTTAAATTTAAATTTGCCCATTCAAAGGAACGGTTGAAGACTGAGTAATGGCTTTAATGGTAGAATCCCTATAAGATAATCTTTCACATATTAAATTTCTAAAGTTCAGATTCATTGATATAGAGTAGTTAATTACTCTGTACTTGTGCAAATTAAGCAAAAATAAATTTCAACTCGTTTTTTAGTTCTTTTAAGGCTAAAGAATAATATGCTCATTAGTTACTTTGACATCTATTTTATTCATCATTGAATACATATGAAAATAACTAACCACAATCTCTTCTCAGATAGCACGTATAATAGTAGTAGCAGAAATGATAGTAGTTTTAAAAAAGTGAAAATTGCAATTTTAGAAATACTGAAATCAAAAATGAATAACAAAACAGCATGCAAATTCCTTACCATCATTGCTTGACATTTCATCTATCGAAACACCTTCCGTTACAAGTTGTCTTGACTTAAGATAGGCTTTATTAAACGTTTCGTAATTTTGTTGCTCCAGTTTCTGAGACTGAAGCATTTTTTCTAAAACAATTGCAAAAAATTAATTTAAAAAGCCACAGCAATATGCTAATTAAATACGGATATTCCAAAAAAAGAAGCCAAACAATTTGCAAAATATCACTCAAAACACCTGCTCCTCCAAATAAACCATTTATATTTTATTTGAAAAAATTTCAAACTCTCAACAAGAAAATGCTTCAGATAATTGAAAGAAGAGAAAAAAGGCATTTTGACTGCAATAGTGATAAATGTCAGATCTGCAAGATCTCACTCTTGTAAAAAAAAAAATAACCCGCGACCAGTGTTCCAATATCATCAAAGTTTGTTTGCCAGGAAATTCTGTAGCACAAATCATTTTACACACATTCTTATGTTTTATAACTTTTAATGCCCATCCACCATATTTTCTCTTCAGTAATATTGTCAGATAACAGTATCAAAATACAGCAGGATGGGTCACCACTAGCTTTCCAACAAAATTTTTGCATTTCCTCTCCATTACTTTTATGTATTGTTATCTCTCATCATTATCTATCCCAGTAATTTTCCGTCCACACAACTTCCGCAAAAAAGGATACAACTTCAAATACTCCCGGACCAAAATTTTTGTAGGCCACAAGCCATGATTTGCATATGCTATTAGCCATAGCCAGCATTGAAAATAATCACTATGATTAAGTACCTTCCATTAGATAGCTATTCATTGTGAAAAATAAGCCTCAACCGTTTTTTACTGTAATAAATAACACAAATAACTTTTCTGCTGCATTTCAACAAGTTTAATCTAGAAACTTCAAGAATTTCTTACAAAAACAGTTTAACTTTGCCAAATATAAATTAGTTTTTTTTTTGCCCAATACGATCGTTTAAGTGAATATTTGATGAATTTGAAGTAAAAGTGGTAAAAAAGATGAGGGAAATTTCTTAATGCCATCAGAGATCATTAGCAGATTTTTCAATACACATTCCAACACGAAAAGACTGCAATAACTATCTTATATATTATAATTTAACGTATAATGAATTTATACTGCATCTCTTATAATAGCTGCTGTTACTTAAAGCATTTACAATCTTTCCTTTTTTGAAATATTATCCCTTTTAGCATCTTGTCAGAAAATACCAAATAAAGCAATTGCATTCTACTTTAAGAATTCAGTTAACATTATTTGAGACAATGTATAACATAGAGTTGTGAGTGAATGCAATACAAACAACACACGTACATAACGATAATAACAGAAAACCGGAATTGCCATAACCGTAATGTACCGCATGAAAATTCTATAAAATATATGCTTTGGCTTCATTAAAATAATTCACTGTTAAACAATTGCTTCCGGAAAGTAAACGACTATAAGATCTGCTCACCATAGTTCAATTCATCGCATTTTTATTTGATGAAAAGAGGCAATTTTTCACAGATATTAGTGCAAAATCTGATCCCGAGAGTGTTTCTTGATAAATGAAGTGGAACAGTGCTTATTATAACTGGAAATTAGTCTATTTCCATATATATATATATTTAGTACACTTGATCTTAGCACTACCAAAACAACATAAAATCGGGAATGCAGGTCATACCGTCAAAAGGGTAATAAAAATCAGAAACATACTTTGTACCACTAAGAATACAGCAAAGAAATGCATACTTTATATTGCAAAGAACATCACAAAACCATATTCTGTACAATGGTTTTGTGATATTGTACTGTTAGTAATATTAAGTAAGTTTCATTTGGATGTGGAGCAAAGCACATCCAAGTGAAACTTTCTTAATACTGCTAATAGTATGAATAGCATAAATGTAAAGACTTACTTTTTTTTATATTAGTGTCAACAGCACTAAATATTTTACGTTTTCCAAGATTTATAGTTCTATCGTTCATATTCTATAATTCCTGAATAAATCACTCGATCATTCATGTCAGTCCAAAAAAATGAATTTTGATTGACTGTTGCGTGACCACTCTTAAATAATTATATAACAAAGTATTTTATCAAATACTAAATAACCGACTTAACGCATTATGCTTCCACTAAATTTCTAATCTTGCCGGTTAAGCTAACATTTGCAATTTACTCCGATCCAAAATCACTTATATTCCCCTCACCCTCGGAACTGTTAGAAGTTGCATAATGTTGCATAGAGCTGCTCTGCAGCGTACTGCTGAAAAACACAAAACGCCTGGTCTCCGGATTCATCACTCGATTTCCGGATCCTTTTCTCATTAGCAAAACTCTATTCCCGCTCCACCAATGATTAATTTTCAAGCTCACACTGGTGTTTCCGGGAGATATTAAAAAAAATTATGTATAAAATTGTGACGCACAAAATGATTAATTCTCGACTCCATCGACTGATTTCCGAATTTACCGGAAGATATTCCGGTTTATTCTCGGCATGTTAAACATTATGTCGTAATATATGAACTGCAGAGATATAACAAATTCCTTTTTTGATTTAAAAAGTGGAAAAATTAGTCAAGTCTTTATATCACAATAATAATGACAATGAAAATAAAAAATAAAAAGGGTAAATAGCAGGAAGGCACGGATGTAATAGTACAGTAGCACCATAATTATGATAAAATTCACAAAATTAAATTTCGTAATCTTAATTTAAATTAGTTCGACAATTCCTGTGTATTTTCTTCTCGAGGAAGAGAAAAATCTTGTTTTATAATGATTACATATCATATAATTCCATTAAATTTAAACATTGCCAACTTTTATAAGGCATTTTTGAATTCAAAAGCATTATGGCAACAAGGCAAAAAATAACTGCCATCCTCAACAAATATAACATTAAAAAAAAATACATATCATTCGTCAAAATTTCACCACAACAGTCAAAAGAAATAGATGATGATGATGATGATGATAATAAACAAATAACAGAAAAAAATTGTCATTTTATTTATTTGAAATTTTATGTTATTGTTATGAATGCAACAAAAGTGCTATTAAAATATAACAAAATAACGATTATTACATGACTAGCTAATAGGATATACATATATGTTACCCAAACATTAACACAATATCATAGAATTAGACTGTCATATCGCTTATTTTCTCTATTTACTCAGACAAAAATGCTGGTAGCAACGTATCCATCAATAAAATATTTTAAATCTTGATACTATTTTAATTCTATCCTTTATTATCCTCATTCTTATTAATTTAACCTCTCCTAATTTAATCTTTCTCCTGAATACGTTACTTATCTAGTCATATTATTTACAGAGCAAGTAATAATAAGGCACATAAAATTAGCAGTAATTTGAGGTGTTAATTGAAAACATCTAATTGATAACATTATAAAATTAAAATTATGATTTCAACTTATCAAAACAAAATCATGCTTATTTTTCATAAAAATAAAATTATGATTTCTCATAATTGTTATCATATTGCAAGAGAGGATAAAAAATAAGATAAAAAAAACAGGAAAATATATTAAAACATAACATATTAATTAATGCTTCTCTATACTGAGATGATACGTCGTTGTTATAAGCAATCCAAAACATATACAAAACGAAAACCAATGATATTTTTTATACACCAATTATGAACTGGTATGTTGGAAGTAATATTCGTTTGCTTCAGGTGGAAGTTTCCATCCACTTGCTCCCAGTTCCATCAATAAAAGAATCATTTTACGTGCCCAAGGTTCTTGTACCTGTAATTTGATTATATAAACAATAAAATTGCTGAAACAATAACAATATTAATAAAAATTTACTCGTTATATAAATGTCTTCTTATATGAAACTATAAATCATATAAATGCATTAGCCAATTCCAATTTTCTTTCTAATAGTTTTGGAAAATAATATTAATGAATCAAATATTACAAATATTATTAGATGAAATTGAAAATATATACCTCGATAAAAGCATCTCGAATGAGATCCTTTAAAACAGCTAATTGTTCAGGACATTGTCGTTCGAGGTCATATCCAACGCTGAGCAAACAACCAATCAAACTTTCCAACTGTAAAAAGAAAGCATCGATTTCAGATATTAACAAATTCAAACCATCTATTTTTAAATTGTTTAATTTTAAATGCAATGTTTCTTCTCTCAATGCATTTATTCTTATGTTAAAAATTGCCTTTTCCTTTTTTTTCGAGCTTGAGAACCATTAAATTTATAAAATCGAACTATAACCTTTTAAAATCAAGTAAACCTTCTCCATATGAAAAAGTAATTAGCCACACATTTAAAAATAAAATTGGTTTTCAGAATCATTTAACTCTGATTTAGGCTCCACTCTCAAATTTGATCCAATAACTTTTAATTTTTCTTGTTTAAATTCCGCTAATTTTTTTGTTTATTTACAAAAAAACAAGCAGATTGGAAAAGAGCAGTTTTTATTCCGTTGTTTAGTTTAGATATGAAGTTTCCAGTCGCAAAATTTTTTCGGATAATTCAATTTTTCATTACTTTTTTTTCACCTACCTTTTAAATATATTACATTACTTTTTCGTCAATGAAGTAAAATTTTGAAATTAATAAAATTTGAAAAGTGAATTCCACTACCATAATGTGTATCATATGAAAACAAAAAAATTTCCGAAAAAAAGCAACCAAAAAACATTTATAATAACCTCTTCAATTTTTAATGTATCGAGAATAGGTGCTTTGAGCAAATAGCCGAAAATACGAAAAACAAGATCGACAAGTTCTCCTATAAAGAATATTAGTAAAATACTAAAGTAATTACAACTAAAATTAAATGACAACAAAAATGATTTAAATTTTGATTAAAATCAATTCTCAAATTATTTTCAGTTTTGAAATCATATAATTTAAAGTGAAATTTGAAGCGAATGAAATGATTAATATAAACTTTTTTGTTGAAATGAAAGTCGAACACAGGAACATAAACATCTTTTCAATTTTGTTAAAATGAATAACACTGGCATATATGGAATATTTGCAATTCATCTCATTTTTTTCACACAAATTTAATTTTTTTTAAATAAATTTAAATAAAGGAAAAAAGGAAAACCTTCATAAATGTAGCCAACACTAGCATACAAATCGGAAACAAAATTGAGGAAAGTAATCCAAACCCGAAAATGATCGATACGTAAACGATCCCTGCATTCAAAGTAGTGCATTAATGCAGCTGCAATACCCTGGAAAATTTTTTTTAATAATTTCAACAATTTTTAAACATTTTAATAAATTTTAAAAATTACAGTCAAAAATTTAATAAAGTCTATGTAAAATATGTCATCCATCTATAATATAGAGATTATTATGCATATATGTAATGGAAGAAATAAAAGAGTGACAATATAAAAAATTAAAATAAATTTCGTTTAATCCAACTGAAAAAATTAAATATGAATTTTGTTAACAAAGATAATGCCTGAAAACCGAAAAGAAGTCAATGAAGTTATACATTTCGCGATTTAAAATGAAAATAATTCATCCCTATTTATAGGAGGGATCAAGCAATGTGAAACTGAAATGATTTAATAATGCATGGTACCATATGTTGTGATTTAATAATGCATGACACCATATGTTTCAAATTTTGGAATAACAACTTTATGTTTGAAAATTTTAAACAATTCAGTATTTTAATATCTCAATGTTCAGAAAAAGAAAAATATCTTCTGTAAAAAAATAAAATTTATAAGATATTATAAAATGTGACATTTGTTAGAATCATTGAATTTGAATAAAAATAATTGATTGGGAGGAAATTAAAAAAAAGGAAGCGGAATTTAATTTCTGACATCTAAAACAAATTTCTAGCCTGATGAAAAACGTTTGCAGTATCAAAATTGAGGAGCTGTGCAGCGATACGTGCCACAGCTTTGCCGGCTAGCCGATTCTCTTCGATAGAGAAATGTACGAGCATCTGTCCCACCGCACCTCCTACTTCATCATCTTCAAAATTACCTTAAAAAAAAGGCTAAAATTCAAGCATACACAATCATCTATAATTAGCATTATTAGTTGAAACATAAATTACTTGAAAGATGTGTATTAATTAATTAAGATATAATTTCAATTTTTATATATGGGTGATTTGTTAAATGCATTATTATGACATGTATGAATTCTAAGATTTTTATGTATGGGTATGTCATCCAGGTCACCAATCACTTACATCCATTAAAGCGGTAAAAATATAAATGATATTTATTTAAATGTTAATATTTAAACATTTGCAAAATGAAACAAATGTGAAAATATATCAAACTTTAACAATGCCTACATCGAAAATATTCCGACAAACTGATTATTTATAAAATAAAAATAATAAAATTGAATAAAACAGATCAATAAATATAAATATATCAAATAACAATTTTAATAATGATAAAATTCAAATTATGTAGACAAATTTAACATTTGTAAGAGAATGATAACATTTAAGGTATATTTTAAATTTACCAAACAGTTAATATTAGAAACTACAAATTATATTAAAAATTATTAGCTAACATTGGAAATATACAATTATAATCATAAAAATAACAGTTATCTTTTCACAAATATAAATTTAATTACATTACTTAAATATTAAAAATCTGGAAAAAAGGAAATAAAAAGTCAAGAATGAAGGAGAAAAGAAAAGGGAAAAATTCTTACTTGTAATAAATTGTTCGATAAGAGAATTCTCCTTTGTTAAATTCAATTTTCTTAAGCCAGCGGCAAGCTCCTCAATTTCTTTCCCATTTAAATGCTTTTTTTTATTAGCATTTTGCTGTTGTTGTTGTTCTTTACCAGTGGTAGTAGATTTACGTAATGGTGTATTATTAAATCCACTACCTGAATTATCATTATTCCCACCTCCTGTTATTGCTGTCCCATGTTGCATACCACCAATTATACCCACGGATCCATCCATCTGAAGTAATGACGATGTTGGTGAATTTATTGTACCATTACTACTACTGTTGCTACCACCAGATCTCTTCAAATGCTGCTTAAAAGCGGTTGCTTGAGATTGAGATTGATGATTATGATGATGATGGTGGTGATATTGTGATTGTGATTGTTGTTGTTGTTGTTGCTGATGATGATGATGATTAGAAGGAGATATAGTTCCACTTTGATGAAGATGTCGACTTGATGTCGAATTCGGGGATTTAGTCGATGCCTGAATACATAAACAATAATATGAGAAAAAGAAAAAAAGAAAATAATCCAAGAAATTATTTGAAATATTTTCTTTCTATTCTTTACTAAATCTATTAAATTTTATGATTGCAATTTTACTATTAAATTAATTTAGTTTCTTAGTTAAAAATTCATAATTAACCTGAAAGGAATTATCGATGTGTTATTGTAAATTAAAAGTGATAGAATTGTCATTAATTGTATAGGCGTCAGAGCGAAAAAAACAATGAACTGATAACAATACGGAAATATATGATGATGATGATAAAAACAACTGAGGTAACTTAATAAATCGCGTGGTAGTCATTTAAATTTTGAAATCTTAGGTTGTGAAATATTAATGGCATTTAGAGTTATCAGTTTTTCATTTATCACCAGATGTTATCGATAGCTTTTTCTTTGTGATAATATAGATATATATGTTATGTAAAACTTATAGAGACAGTGGAATATATGTTATTTAAAAATTACTGAAATAATTACAGTCTATTTATATCACCTCAAATAAAGAATAATAAATGTTTCTAGGAGGGATTCATAAAAATAATAATTGATAGATGAAAATTTTTCGAAATTTCTAGGAAAAAAAAACTACGAAAAAAAGAAAACTCAGTGATCGATGCAAAACTGAACAACGGTAGTAGTTATATTTTACCGGATTTTTAACTGTTCTTACACGTATAATGTAAATCGGTAAACCTCAAAAATAATCAAAAAAAAATTCAATTAATAGTTTAGCAACATACATAATTAAATATTGAATAACTATGTGAAAAATCACAACAATAAAATAATAAAGGTCATATGAGAAAGTGATATTTTATTTTCTAGAATAAACTAATTTCATGGATACCTCAAAAATTTTCATTTAAATCATGGAATAGGATTATATTTAAAATTTTATTCATTCTTATAACAGCAGGCATTTGCGGCTATTCATATCACATTTGTAACTGCCAAACATTTACGTCATTCACTAAATCATTTTCTTTTTTTGGGTAGCAGTGCTTACAAAATTTAGCTCTTATAAAATCATTCGATTAGAATAGAAACACGGGTGATTCATTATATTTGCAAAGAATAAAAATAACAAATATTTTGCAAAAATTTGAACAAGTTCAAAAGTATTTCAAACATTTTGAATCTCACAAAATATAAAAAATACGAAGCAGTTGAAATTCATAAGCAATATCGGAAAATGTAAATAATAAATGAGATAAGGTATGTGTGCTTCTGTGCAAGGTGTTCAAATAAACATAGAGCACAAATACTTCAGTCTCGACTAAAGTAAGGGTAATTTGAGAGGATTTGATAAATTGGTATACTCAATGAAATACTGATAATTCAAAGTTGACAAATTGGTACACTCATTAAAATATTGGTAATTTGATAAATATTATTTTTTTTTAACCGTATAGTAAGTTTTAACCATACAATAAGAATGAACTCTGTAAATTCTGAAATTAAAAGTTTTTCAAATTAAACATATTAATTATATTTTACCTGTGATGATGTTACCGATTCACTACTTAAAGCGCTATCGGTACGCTGTAACGATATCACTGCTTGTGCTCCTCCTGTAACCGCTATATCGTTTAATAAATCATTATCATCAGTACTTTTGAGCGTACATCCATTCAATGTATTCGCACATTTGCCTGATTCCATTGTATTATGATTAATATTTTCTGAAATACAAACATGATTGCAATAAAATGATCAAATATTAATCGTAATTATAATTAGCACGATTAGAGATAATGAGCTAGAACGACATCACATGTTCATAAATAAACGATATTAATTTTGTCTTTTCTTTCTTTTTACAGAGATTTCATTTTTTCTTTTCTCCTCAGAGATGTTCCTGCTTCCTTTAAATCATCAGATAATCAATATTTCATTAATTCTTAAACTTCTAGACTAAGACTTTAACAATAATGTTCTAAAATTTCTGACTGTTAATTAATTAACTGATCTACTCAATCGCAACAATTAATAATTAACAAATAGCAATAATGATAATGATAATATTGATGATGATGAGGAAAATATGAGAATAATAAAGACAAAACGTTATCAAAACAATTTTATCGTATGGTATCATCAATAAATATAATTATTAATTTTGAATAGCTTTTGTAAATAAAAAAAGGAGAAAATTTATCATAAAATAAATAATGTAAGTATTATGATAAAAAATCATATAAGCAATGAAATATATAAATGTTAACAAAAAATAAATAAATGCTCGAACGATATTCGTGAGTATCGTTCAAAAAACAAAATTCAATATTTTAGCAATAATTAATTCCAGTAGCAAATTTAACCAATTTGCAAAATTAAATTTGGTTTTTATACAAATTTAGAAGATTGAAATTTGACATACCCTCGCTCTGCTTTTTAACAGTATCTTTTTTTAACTGCTTTGTACCGGCAGTTTGATTCGGTTTCGTATTCGTTGAATTTTCGTCATTACCTCTGAGTCCTGCAAGCATAATTATTTCCTTCCTACTTGTTTATTCGTATCACTTTGAAAAAAAATTTAAAATTTCCAAAGAATTATTGATTTTATCAAGAAATAAATTAAATGAAACTATTGACTATTATCACTGCGCAATTCATATTCTTTTATTAATATTGAATGAAAGAATGAAAAAAACATAACGATAACTAATCGACGGAGATTTAATTCAATTAATTTATTCGCTGCAACTTGGTTACTTCACGAATGATATTTAAATTTTCTATTATTTTTATTGTTTTAATTATGAATTAATTTTAACTTGTTCTTAACTTTATATAATCTGACACTTTGGAAATTGTTAGAACAATAAACAACTTTCATTACAAGCATGCTTCCTTACTTTTTTCTATCGATGCCTTAACAAAATCATAATTATTTTCAATTTAAATCTAGCTTCGAATATTTCACTATTTCTTCATTTGCAGTTTTCCTTATATCCTTAAATTTAAATTTTTTATTACTAATTTTTTCTTGCAATTTCATCGTATTTTAAAGAAATCGATTGTTTATAATTTTATTATAATCTCATAAATTATTGATATCATACATTAAATAACATTATACTATGAATTGTTCTGAGAGCTGATTAATGCATAAGGAAATATAAAATTAAAAAATGAGCATTTAAATAATTAACAGTTATTAAACTTATATCTCGCAAACTTTCGCTTTTCGAATTTTTTCTTTTTTTATTGTTTTTTTTTAACTTAGAATATTTCATATTGACGGTGTATGCAAACTACTGCTCGGTAAACAAGTATAAGAGGATTTGAATTCTTCAAATAACAGTTCAAATGTATGTATATATATATGTGTATGTGTGCATGTGTGTGTGT